ATTTGGCAATAAGGAGTTCATGATCTGAGCCACAGTCAGCTCCCAGTCTTGTTTTCGCTGACTGTATAGAGCTTCTCCATCTTTGGCTGCAAAGGATATAATCCGTCTGATTTCGGTATTGACCATCTGGTGATGTCCTTGTGTAAAGTCATCTCTTGTGTTGTTGGAAGAGGGTGCTTGCTATGACCAGTGCGTTCTCTTGGCAAAACTTTGTTAGCCTTTGCCCTGCTTCATTCTGTACTGCAAGGCCAGAAATACTCCAAGTATTTCTTGACTTCCTCCTTTTGCATTTCAGTCCCCTATAATGAAAAGGACATCTTTTTTGGGTGTTAGTTCTAGAAGGTCTTGTAGGTCTTCTTAGAACTGTTCAACTTCAGCTTCTTCAGCATTACTGGTTGGGGCCTAGACTTGGATTACCGTGATATTGAGTAGTTTGCCTTGGAAACAAACAGAGATCATTCTGTCATTTTTGAGATTGCATCCAAGTACTGCATTTTGGACTCTTTTGTTGACTCCATTTCTTCTAAGGGATTCTTGCCCACAATAGTAGATATAATGGTCATCTGAGTTAAATTCACCCATTCCAGACCATTTTATTTATTTATTTTTATTTATTTTTATTAGTTGGAGGCTAATTACTTTGTAATATATTGTAGTGGTTTTTGCCATGCATTGACATGAATCAGCCATGGATTTACATGTATTCCCCATCCCGATCCCCCCTCCCTCCTCCCTCCCCATCCCATCCCTCTGGGTCTTCCCAGTGCACCAGCCCTGAGCACTTGTCTCATGCATCCAACCTGGGCTAGTGGCATTCCAGACCATTTTAGTTCTGCTGATTCCTAAAATGTTGACGTTCACTCTTGCCATCTCCTGTTTGACTGCTTCCAATTTGCCTTAATTCATGGACCTAACATTCCAGGTTCCTATGCAATATTGCTCTTTACGGAATCGGACCTTGCTTCCATCACCAGTCACATCCACAGCTGGGTATTGTTTTTGCTTTGGCTCTGTCTCTTCATTCTTTCTGGAGTTATTTCTCCACTGATCTCCAGTAGCATATTGGGCACCTACCAACCTGGGGAGTTCCTCTTTTAGTGTCTTATCTTTTTGCCTGTTCATACCTTAAAGGAGTTAGGAAGTGGTTTTTTTTTTCCTCCTGAATTTTTGGGGTGATTTTGAGAATTGGTGTTAATTCTTGTCAAAGGTCTGGTAGGATTCACCAGTGAAGCCATCAGTTGGGCCCAGAGGTTTTTCTGTGGAGGGGTTTTGATTAGTGATCCAAAAACCTTCCTAGCTGTGAGTCTATTCAGAGTCTCTATTTCTTTCTGACTCAGTCTTGGGACAATTTGTATTTCTAGCAATTTGTTCATTTTATCTAGTTACCCCATTCGTTAGAAAACAATCTTTTACAGTACTCTCTATAATCCTTTTTATTCCTCCATGTTCATTTCTCATTTCAGTAATTTGTCTTAATTTGTCTTCCCTTTTTTCTAAGTCAGTCTAGCGAATAGCTTGTCAACTTTGTTAATTTATCCAAAGAATCAACTTTGTGTTTTTTTTTACTTTCTTTGCTTTTCTATTTTGTCTCTGGTACTAATCTTCATTAGTAACTTCCTTCTGCCAGCTTTGGGTTTAGTAGTTTGTTCTTTTTCTAGTTACCAAAATTACATGAAGTTACTGGTTTGAGATTTTTATGTTTTTAAAGCTTTAAATTTCCTCTTAGCACTGCTTTTCTGTTTCTCATAAGGTAGTGTTTCACTTTCCTTCATCTCTAAGTATTTTTTTATTGACTGAGCTACTGAGCTGAACTGACGCTTTATTCTTTGCTACATTGGCTAAAGTGTGTTTAATTTTTACAAATATGTGAGTTTTCCACTTTTTCTTCTCTTGCTGATTTCTAACTTTATCACATTATAGTTCGAGAAGATATTTTGTATGAGATCTATCTTGTCAAATATACTGAGATAAATTGTAACCTAACCAATTGTCTGTCCTGGAGAAGGCCCTGATGCCCTTGAGGAGAACATGTGTTCTGCTGGTGTGTTTGTCTGTTAGACCTAACTGATTGTGTTGCTGAAATTTTCTACCTTTGCACTCATCTTGCCTGATTATCCATCAGTGAGAGCGGGGTATTGGAAGTTCCAAGTATTGTGTGAATGGTCTATTTCTCCCCTCAGTTCTGTTCATTTTTGTTTCATGTGTTTTGATGGTGTCATTAGGTGTGTAAATGTGATTTTATCTTATTGCTACATTGTTGAATTTCCTATTAACATACAATATTCTTTTCTCTTGTAACCTGTTCTCATTTATTCTATTTTGTCTGATATTAGTACAGCCACAACTGCTCTCTTTTGGTTACTCTTTGCATAGACTGTCTTTTTTTGTCCTTTCATGTTCAACTTTTTACTGTCTTTGGATCTAAAATTAATCTCTTATAGATGGCAAAATTTTGTTCTTTGTTTTCTGTATGGCTTAATGATTTTTTTGTCTCTTTGCATGACCACCTTCTTCTGCATTCATTTTCTGGTAGTGCAACACTTTAATTCCCTTCTCATTTCCTTTTGTGCATATTCTATAACTATTTTCTTTGTGGTTATAGTTAGATTATAAGAAACATCCTCAAGTTATAACTATGCCAATTTAAGCCAGTTTAATGTCAAGAACATAAAAAACCTCTGCAACAGCTCTGACTTGAACTCCTTTTAGTTATCGATTATACCTTTTGTGTTGTGTATCCAAAATCCCTTCATGGATCACAGCCTTGTTGTGGCAAAGGGCGTGCATAACTCAATGAAGATCTGAGCCAGCCCATGCAGGGTCACCCAAGATGGATGGGCATAGTGAACAATTCTGAAAAAATGTAGTCCAGTGTAGGAGGAAATGACAAGCCACTCCAGTATTCTTGCCTAGAGAAACCCATGGACAGTATGAAAAGGCAAAAGATATGACACCAGAAGATAAGCCTTCCAGGTCAGAAGGTGCCCAGTATGCTACTGGGGAAGAGTGGAGGGCAATTACTAATAGCTCCAGAAAGAATGAAGCAGCTGGGCCAAAGTGGAAACAACCCTTAGTTGTGGATGTGTCTGGTGGTGAAAATAAAGTCCAGTGCTGTAAAGAACAATATTGCATAGGAAGCTGTAATGTTAGGTTCATGAATCAAGGTAAATTGGATGTGGTAAAGCAGGAGATGCCAAGATTAAACATCAACATCTTAGGAATCATTGAACTAAAATGGACAGGAATGGGTGGATTTAATTTAAATAACCATTATATTTACTACTGTGGGCAAGAATCCCTTGGAAGAAATGGAGTAGCCCCCACAGTCAACAAGAGAGTCCAAAATGCAGTACTTGGGTGCAATCTCAAAAACGATAGGATGATCTGTCTGTTTCTAAGGCAAACCATTCAACATGTCAGTAATCCAAGTCTTTGCCCCAACCATTAATGCCAAAGAAGCTGAAGTGGACTGGTTCTTGAAGACCTACAACAATTCTAGAACTAACACCAAAAAGATGTCCTTTTCATCATAGGGGACTCTAAAGCAAAAGTAGGAAGTCAGGAGATACCCAGAATAATAGGCAAGATTGGCCTTGGAACACAAAACAAAGCAGGGAAAAGCTAACAGCTTTATTGGGAGAGCACACTGGTCGCAGCAAACACCCTTTTCCAGCAACCCAAGAGACCAGTGTGCACATGGACATCACCAGATAATCAATATCGAAAGTAATTTATGTTCTTTGAAGCCAAATACGGAGAAGCTTTATACAGTCAGCAGAAACAAGACCCGGAACCACAGCTCCTTATTGCAAAATTCAGGCTTAAATTAAAGAAAGTAGAGAAAACCACTAGGCCATTTGCTATGACCGAAGTCAAATCCCTTATGATTATACAGTGGAGTGACAAATATATTCAAGGGATTAGATCTGGTAGACAGAGTGCCTAAAGAATTATGGACAGAGGTTCATAACAACGTACAGGAGGTGGTGACCAAAACCATCCCCCAAAAAAGAAATGCAAGAAGGCAAAGTGGTTGTCTGAGGAGGCTTTACAAATAGCCAAGGAAAGAAGAGAAGTGAAAGGAAAAGAAGAAAGGGAAAGATACACCCAACTGAATGCAAAGTTCCAGAAAATAGCAAGGCAGTAAAAGAAAGCCTTCTTCAATGAACAATGCAAAAAAAAAGAGGAAAACAACAGAATGGGAAAGACTGGAGATCTCTTCAAGAAAACTGGAGATATCAAGGGAACATTTCACACAAAGATGGGAATGATACAGGACAGAAATGATAAGGACCTATCAGAAGTAGAAGATATTAAGAAGAGGTGGCAAGAATACACAAAAGAACTATAAAACAAGATCTGAAGGACCCAAATAACCAGGATAGTGTGATCACTCACCTAGAGCCAGGTATCCTGGAGTATGAAGTCAAGTGGGCGTAAGGAAGAAGCATTATTATGGAAAAAGCTAGTGGATGTGACAGAATTCCAGCTATTTCAAATCCTAAAAGATGATGCTGTTTAAGTGCTCTCAATATGTCAGCGAATTTGTAAACTCAGCAGTGGCCACAGGACCGGAAAAGATCAGTTTCCATTCCAATCCCAAAGAAAGGCAGGGTTAAAGAATGTTCAAACTACTGTATGCTTTTGCTCATTTCACATGCTAACAAGATTATGCTCAAAATCCTTCTGGCTAATCAGCAGCAGTAAGTGAATCGAGAATTTCTAGGTGTACAAGCTGTGTTTCAAAGAGACAGTGGGAACAGAGGTCAAATTTGAAACATTCAGTGAATAATGGAGAAAGCAAAGGAGTTCCAGAAAAGCATCTACTTCATTGATGAAAGCCTTTGACTGTGTGGATCACAACAAATTGTAGAACATTCTAAAACAGACAGACATACTAGACCATCTTGACTTGACTCCTGGGAAGCCTTATGCAGGTCAAGAAGGAACAGAACCATACATGGAACAATGGACTGGTTCAAAATTGGGAAATGAGTATGTCAAGGTTGTATATTGTCACCCTGCTTATTTAACTTATATGGGGAGTGTATCATGTGAAATGCCAGGCTGGAGGAATCACAAGCTGGAATCAAGATTTCCAGGAGAAATATTAACAACCACTGATATGCAGATGATACCACTCTAAAGGCAGAAAGAAAAGAGGAACTAAGATCATCTTGATGAGGGTGAAAGAGGAGAGTGAAAAAACTGGCTTGAAACTCAACATTAACAAAACTAAGATCATGGCATCCAGTCCCATCACTTCGTGGCAAATAGAAGGGCAAAAACTGGAAGCAGTGACAAATTTTATTATCTTGGGGCTCCAAAATCACTGTGGATTGTGACTGCAGCCATGAAATTAAACATTTGCTTCTTGGAAGGGAAGTGATGACAAACCTAGACAATGTATTAAGAAGCAGAGACGTCACTTTGTGGACACAGGCCCCTATAGTCAAAGCTATGGTTTTTCCAGTAGTCATGTATAGATGTGAGAGTTGGACCATAAAGACGGCTGAGTGAAGAACTGATGCTTTTCATTTGTATTGTTGGAGAAGACTCTTGAGAATCCCTTGGACTGCAGGGAGATCAAACCAGTCCATCCTAAAGTAAATCAACCCTGAATCTTCATTGGAAGGACTGTTGCTGAAACTGAAGCTCCAATACTTTGGCCACCTGATGTGAAGAGCTGATATACTGGAAAAGACCTTTGATGCTGGAAGATTGAAATAATCAGAGAAGGGGGCATCAGAGTATGACATGGTTAGATAGCATCACTGACTCAACGGGCATGAATTTGAACAAATTCAGGGAGAGATGGACGACAAGAGGAGCCCGGTGTGCACAGTCCATGAGGTCACAGAGAACTGGACACGGCTTAGTGACTGAACAATAGTAATTCATAACCACTAAAAATGGTGTTTAATTCTTTTTATTAATTTCATCTATCAGAGAGAAAATAAAATAGTGGAGCTACAAACCACAGTTACAATAGTAACTTTTCTAATTGCTTGTCTATCTACTTTTACCAAAGATCTTTATCCCTTCAGAACATTTTGAGCTGCCATCCAGAGCCCTTCACTCCAACCTGGAGGACTCCCTGCTGCAGGAGTATAGTTAGCATAGTTAGCACATTTATTACAGTTAGCATTGCTAGTTAGTGCTGGCAGTCAGTGTAGTCAGGAGATCACCATGATGCTGGGCCTCACAGCTGTCTCAGGGGACAAGGCTTCTATTGAGAACTGATTCCTTACGTTATTGGTAAAGGTTGATTTGCCAAAGTGGGCCCAGTACGTTCTGACAGGGACAGAGTTGGCCATAAAGGTCATTAGGAAGAGTCAGCAGAGGTCCGCCAGCCTCCAGGACTCTTCTGGGAAGTGAATAGTACGAAGGCTCTGGACCATGAAAACATCGTCAAACTCCTGGAGGTGATTGACACAGAGGAGACCTTCTTCCTGGAGATGGAGGGCCTCAGTGAGGGGGACATGTGCAGCCATTTTGAGGACCATGGGACATGACAGGGCTGACACCCGAGGGCCGCTCAGACAGCTGGTCTCTGCCCTGCAGCTCGGCCTCCAGAGGCACGTCCTGCACTGGGACCTGAAGCCAGGGAACCTCCTCTTTGACACCAAGTAGTGTGTGAAAATTACAGACTTTGGCCTCAGCAATGTGTGTGATGAGAGTGGGAAGCTCAACACTTCCTATGGCAGCTGCACTTAGGCTGCCTGAGAATTCTTCCGGGGACAGGGCTCCGACTGCCCTGCGGTGGATGTGTGGAGTCTGGGAGTAGTTCTCTACTCATGGTGACCGGGACCCTGCCCTTTGGGGGACAGGACTTCTCAGAGCTGTGGCTGTGAATCCTCGTAGGGCAACACCCCATTCCCCTGTGTCTGTCATCAGAGAAGGAATTTGCTAAAAAAATATGGTCCTCAACCCCAGTGACAAAAGCACCTTAAATGACTGACGAGGCCTCCAGGGGTGAACCTGGGCCAGAAGGAGCCACTCAGGCCATTCTTTGCGCCACCCTGTGACCCTGGGGTGACGGTGGTGAGGACACTGGTGTCGAGGTGGGACCTGATCCGTGACTCAGGGAACAGGCAGCAGGCACTGCACCATGAGGTCAGGGGAACACAAGGTGGACGGCTGCTCCATCACTGCGAGGCTCTCCCCTCCCACGGACCTCAGCAGCCATAACGAGCCTTCTCCAAGGCCTGAGGTGTCCACACTCATACCACGTGGCTCAACCAGGGCTCCGTTTGTTACGCAGCCTCTTGCTGGGCAGACTATTATAATCCTGCATATTTTCAAGCGAACCCTGCTCTTTCTGGCTGTGGCCAGAGGTAAGTAAAATGTACAACTGCAGGAGGACCAGGAGTCAGGGCAGAAGACCAGGGAGCTTGCCGGTCTCCACCCAGCCTGGAGCAGAGTCCTGCCATCCCCAGCCCAGCCCCCCGTGTGGCCCTGAGGCCTTCCCTCCACCAGCAATACCAGCAGCAGGACTGGAATTCCAGCGGGAAGCAGCTGCCCCTGGGTGTGTCCAACACCAGGAGCTCCTCCCACGCTGGGCAGCCTGAGCATGTGTCCCCAGACACTTTCTTCTGGCCACAGCCAGAAAGAGTAGGGCTTGCCTGAGAATAATAAGGTATTTAATAGTCTGCCCAGCAAGAGGTGGCATAACAAATGGAACCCAGGTAAAGTCCATGGATGACCCAAGAAGAAAGGTCAGGATGCACTCCCTGGCAGTGGCTGGGGGGTCAAATCCTCTGACAAGATTTGACTCAGGAGGGTATCCCACACCTCCATGGCCTTCAGAAGCACTGTATCCAAAGCCCTGGCCAGCTCAGAGGACGGTCTGCAGTGGCCTGGCAACCAGAAGAGGGCCCGCCTGGCTGCAGGCCCCCCCTCGGCTCTCACCTGCAACTGCAGAGACCCGACTGCCTCTCCTGGGCATGTCTCCCTACCCCACTCTTCTGTCCTCCATGTGAGAGGGGGTGCGGGAGCTCCCCTTGTCAGCTCTTTGGTTCTTCCAATTCCTGTTGATAAACTTGATGCTCCAGTTTTGCATCCTTCCTGAACAGAATTGAGGCTGTATTTTCCAATCTAAGAAGCGTGCAGTCATGTGGTACTAGAAGTAAATCAGAGCTAAATGCAAAGACAACCAAGAGAATAAGGACAGTGACTTCCAACAGCAACAATTGCTGCACTGCAGGGCCGAGATGCAGAAAGTGTGTATGACCTCCCTGCACTGACATTACCCAACATCTTCAGAAGGGCTGAGGGGAACTTTTGGTCCCTGGGGCCTGTGTTAATCATGACTGAGATGCCCATAAATAGGATAAAGTCCTGTGAAAGCCTGTGTGCAGTGTGATCAGGTCCCTGTGCAGCTGAGTTTCCTGACTCTCATGCAGATGTCAGGATCTCCCCTTTGGTGGGGGGAGTTGTCCTGATGTGTGGGTGTGACCACAGGGACTGGGGAGCAGGCAATCTGGCAGGAGGAAGCTGGAGTGTCAGGCACACACAGGACAGAGGTCAGGAGCCAGGCTGGGGAGAGGGGCCTGGGCCAGCCCCCTTGCTTCCGGGACCATCCACACCAGTGCTCTGTGCTCTCCATTTCCAAACATCCCCACCTCAGGGCTGGACAGTAGTTGACTCCGATGACGGAATGTTGTGCTCACAGACTCTCCTCTTCTGTGAGGTGTGGGCTGGGGCTGGCTGGGCTACAGCTGCCTCTGGTCACTCTTATTTGTCCATCACAGTCCCAGAGAGAGCAGGGCATCCATGAGCAGGGCGGGACACAGTCTCCTTCCACTGGCCAAGACGTCTCAGGCTGCTGGTGACCAGAGGGCCCTGTGGAGGTGGGATGGGGAGAAAGCCTCAGTGTCAGTGATGGAACCCCGCCAGCAACTTGTCAGCAAAACTCAGGAAAAGCACCCACTTCCCCACGATTTTCAACTGGTTTCTGAATTATTTCCTTCATGCACTGTCTAATGGACAATTTCATACAATATGAGCTCAGGGTAGATGGGTTGGGTGGTGGGAGGGAGCATTAGAGGTGGTGGGCTGAGGCATCCAAGGGCTCCCAGTACCTTGTCCACTCTCAGAGCACTGGATACCCTCCTTTATCTGGACACTGGCTGCCCAGGACTACAGAGTTCCTGCCTCCTCTGCAGCAAGGGTGCTTGTGTGACCAGGCTCTCCCTCCAGAGGGGATGGGAGTGATTTGCACAAACTCTAGAATGTATCCTAGGAGAGCGAAGCAGGCCCTTTCTGCTTCTCCCTCTGTCCTGATCTGGAAATGTCAGCTCTGATGTTGGAGCTTGTTCTGCCGTGTGAACAAAGCAACTCCTCTGGGATGTTTCTCCTGTAAAGGGTTTGGCAGTGGCCACCTCACAGCAACGCTGAGCCATTGGAGCTGCCGGAGGTGGAGTTGGGCCAGAGACTGTGGCCCTCAGGGCTGACCCGGGGACCGGGCCCCTCGTGGCCAGTGTTTGTGGGAAGACTGGGAGCAGCGATGCATGCGTGGTGGGAGAAGGGCAGGGTTTAGGGGCAGCTTTGGAGCCTGAAGACACACCACCCAGGGGACACTCTACAGAGCTCCTGGCCCTGGCCCCTCCCACCCCTCCGCTTCCTGACTGCCTTCGGAGGACATGTGACGACAAACCCCTCCTGTGAGGGCTGCACTCAGCCCATTTATCCCACCTGCCAGGGGGTCAGGACGAGCTCCACACAGCTGTGGCCCTCATGTCAGCAAAGCTCCATGGCCTAGGATGAGGACTGCAAACCCAGACATCTCCAGGGGCAGGCAGGAACAGGCCGGGGAGAGCCTGGGCCCGGGAGACGCATGGGGGGAGGTGGGAGCTGTGGCGAGCCGGGAACACAAGCCCCTTCCAAGAGGGGCCCCCACTCAGCCTCAGAACAGCCTCACCCACTTACCCCCTGGGAATGTCCCCCAGGAGGCTAGAACTTCTCATTTCATGTCAAAATTCACAAAGCTATAAATCTGGGGCTTTGTCTGAAACCTCCTCGTTTTTAAATGTTGCAATGCATTTTAAAAATCCAGATTTGCCCCTGGGCCCTTGTTCAGGGCCCTTGGTTTAAGACCAAATGTGGGCAGGGCAGCTGCCCCGAGGCAGGGTCCAGACTGAATGCTCTGTCACTGCCCAGCCTGGCCCTCGTCCCCCGGGGCCTCCTTGTGGATGCCCAAGGGACAGCTTCATCCCCAGAAACCAGCCCCCAGGCAGGATACGGCGTGTCAGAGTCTTCCCGGGCTGCCCTTTCCTTCAGCAGATCCGTGGCAGTGGGAGCATTTATGCCCCACATTAGGCTGGCCCTGTGTGGAAGACTGGAGTTGCCTCCATGAGAAGCGTCCTTGTGCAGGAGAGCGATGAGTATTCCCCGAAGCCCTAAACCTGCATTGAGCACCTGCTGCATACACAGTCCTAGGATGGGAGCTTGGTGGATGGGGGGAGCCCGGGCATCTGACCACAAGGGACCAAATAAGCCAGAT